ATACAGTGTAACCCGGATATAAGAGACCCGGATATAAGAGAGATTTTCTCTGGTCCCAAATTAGAGCCCATACTTACCTAAACAAAATAGACCAAACCCGGATATAAGAGACTTATTCTCCGATCCCCACAACTCTCTTATATCCGGGTTACACTGTATATATTTTAATATATGAACGAACTAAAAAAATAACTAATATATAAAAAAATCAACTATGTATTTTACTATATTTACTAAAAACAAAAATAACTAACGGATAACTATTTTAACCATTTGTTGTCCCAGGATGCCGGAGTTAATCAAATTTCCAACTCGACGTGATTGTTGCCTTTAAGAAAGAACATCCAACCTGGGAACTGAAAAAATGCCAAGAAATGTTACCAGAGTTCTTTAGTTTGGACACCACATCAAACACTTGGGTTTTTGTTGTTTTAAGCTACTAGATTTCTAACCTTTGCTCTTGTTTCAAATAACTGTAACAAAAATTCCAACAATTAAATAAACTGTACCAAATTTCCTGAATTTTTTTGTGGGGCGCCCTGTAGGTAACATAAATTTGGTATTTCCCGGTTTGTGATGATTTCATCTTCATGAGTCGGGATTTCAATCTGAGATATGCTATTCAGTCGGCGGTAAGATCTACGTCGGAGATCCGTTCCGACGGCGCGATGTAACCTGATTTTCGACGTAGGACGGAACTCCCCTACTTAAGCACCCTCGAGTCTGCCTTACGCTTGGGAGCCATAAGGAAGGGCAAAAAGTCCCTCCCACCAAAAAAAAAAAAAAAAAACGACACAAACTAGAGATAGTAAATATAACACAATCCAATATGGCGTACTGCCGGTGAAGAAACAACGCAGTCTTCCTCATATAGTGACGCCGTATTATGAGACATGGCATCGTGACCACGAAACGAAACGAAACGCCATACATCGGGTCCGACGTAACCCGAGGTCCTTCTGTATAAAGAAAAAAAAAATTTTTCGATTTCTTTTTCAAAATTTATAGGTGCCGTCTAATACATCGGAGCGAAATACAGTATAGCCCTCCACCAAACTTAAATGAAAGAATTAATGGCGAGCGTATTGGCCGGGGTGATGGGTTCTGGGTGTTGGGGTGGGAAAGCAATGATCTGAACAGAAAACAAGATAAAAATAAGTCATTTCGAAACTTACACCTGACGTGACAGGCAATTTAGTAGCTGGTCGCCATGGAAACTGATTATGGCAACAGCGGGAAATTGTCGATTTTTATAGGAATCAAAATATTCCGTTAGAAGGCTTGTTAACTTTCCGATAGTAAATTATGAATGGCTTAATTGAATCATGAATTAATTAAGCTCGATGAAGATTTCTTGGGGGCAAAACTCCGGAAATGTGATTTTCAAAATGCAATTGGCAGTAGGAATTGGCACAGCTCAGTAGGTAAAATGTCGGTCGAGAGTTACATCCGGGTGCGTAGATCATTTTAAATGACGGGACAAATCTTTAGTTTCCGGCTTACGGTCATATCACGTCGCAACACCAGTTCTTGGGAGGTCCACCGAAGTTAAGCAACGTCAAGCTCGGTCACTACCGAGATGGGTGATCGCATTGGAATACCAGGTACTGTAAGCTTGGATGTGCGGGTG